GCGTCTAGTTTTTTCCCATGGCAAAAAGTAAATAGTGAATTTAAAAAAAAGCAAGTGTGGAGAACGTAATTAAAAGAGTGAAAGGAAAGAACCGGCAACGAGAGAGATGTTCATGTGCTTGTAACGAGCGACGAAGATATCAACGACATGTTTGAAAGCAACTGGATCCAGCAACAGGGTCGTTATGTCTTGAAACATGATCCCTACAACACAAAATTAAACACTCTAATTAAGTTTATTAATTTCCAAGCCAAAAGAAAAACTTTTAAAAGAAGGAAGAAAATGGGACCGGTCTTGGGGAAGTGAGGGATGACTCGAATGGCGTCGGAGATAGCCTGTAATCTCGGGTCTCCCTGCAAACCATTCTCCACTGCAAACATCTCTCTATCTCTCTAGAGCTCAAGCTATAAAGTATAAACTCACTCGAGTGTCGAAGAAGAAGAGAGAAAGGGTTTGGTTGGTTTTATAGCATTTATTTATCATTCTTTTATTTCTCTCTCACCCACTCATCGTACGTCTACTCAGGATTCACTATTCATATATTTTACTACGAATTGTAAAAAAAAAAAAAAATCAAAATTCACTAGAACAGCCAATTTATGGTGGTGGTAAGTCGAGAGACCATACTTTGATTTTTCTACGATTTCAATCAACCTTTTTTTTTTGTTTGAAAAAGTATTTCAATCAACCTTTGTGATTAAATTTGTGTCCTCCAACAAAAATAATACGATAATATTATTAACATGTAAGGTTTATAGTTTTTATGTCGAGGTGATTAAATTTGTCGTTTCTAGGCTTTTGAAAGATGGATTTTTACATGGTTGTGACCCTACGAATTCGATATTAATAGTGTGGCAGCATCTCTCACAATAACTATGACGCATACTAGTAGACTATACATTAAATAAATAGATTTCGACAACTAGAGTTATTTAAAATCTTTTTGTTTTTGATTTGTTTTTCTCGTCCACAATCCCCATCGAGTGCGTGACCGTAAACAAACGAATCTTTCTTTACCAGAAAATAAACAAATCTTTCTCGAAGATGTGAAATTCTAAACTTTTTATAGTAAGAATGGTTATGAGATAAATTAAAACAAGTTGTTGAGAGAGAAGAAGAGGTGCGAATCCCTTATGTTTCTGTTTTTACCTAAAAAATAGTAATTAGTTTACCAATGTGTTCCACTAATCTACGAAAATCGTTGTGATTTTTGTGTGTGGCCATTGTAGACATTTGGGATGACAACAATACCCAATTTTTTAACATATTTTTAAGATTAGCCTGGATATCATCTCGAAAATGTACTTTGTTTAAATTAG